CCAGTTTAGAGATGGTTTTGTTCTCGTTAAAAAGCGTAATAATGTAGGAAATTCTGTAAAACTTATCCGTGTTGTAAATTTACAATTTCCGTCACTCGCTCAGACTCCGTTTCGAATCACGAACGGTCGGATTGCATTATGCGACGCTGAAAATTTTGTTCACATGGTCCGCAATGAAACAGAAATCACATCCAGCATGGAATATGTGCAATTCTATGGGAAGTTTTCGTATAGCATTTGTGCACTTTGTCTAACTGCGGTTTTGAACAGCTGCAGCAAGATGCTTTATACATAGGTCATAGGCCATTTCCTTCACAAGATTCTGAGAAGCTCATCAGAGTATCCCAGCGTCCTGTTTGCAGGGCGGGGGGTACGAGCGAATCGCAGTTGGACCCATTGAAGTATCGGTCAACATCACGCTCGAAGAATTTTGATAAATTTTTCTTTCCACGTGGACAGGAATTTTAGGCAATCAAAGTCACTTTTGCAAACCTTAGTGCAAAAAAGCAGAGAGTATTTGATGCATTTTTTTTGTTTTTACTTGTCGTGTAGTACGAAAGTATTGGGTCACAAATTAAAAACAGGCGACAGTTTAGGGGAAAATTTTTCAGTTTTGTCGAGTAATTGTAAACTTGTCTTCACTGAAAAATGGTAAAGGATGCCACGGAAAGTGCGATGTATAAATATCATTTAAGTCGGAAACCGTTTCAATGAGAAAAGTAAGGTCTCACGTTATAGGTTTTTTTCGTTGAATGTAAGGTTAGTGTGCACGTACCTGTACACAGACCCTGGAACTGGCCCGTTAACATGGCTAGCCACGCGCCACGCGCCGCGGCGCTCCGTTTGTAATCTTTCGACGCGTTGGAAATGTATACATTTAACTGTTAAACGATTTACAACTGACTGGTTCCCGGCCCTGAAATGCAGTTTAGTACGATCACAGAGGGCACTGGGACTTGTGTATTTGTGCACGAAGCTTTCAAAATGGGTTTACTCGAAAAATGACGATTTTTATAAGCTACAGGTTTCCTTCTTACATCAAATCACCTGTAAAATGAAAATAATCTATCATCCTTTCCGATGGTACTACGGCTGATCTAAGGTAACCCGGGAAATTGTCCAAATGTCTAAACCAAACTCAAAAGCGAACGACGTTTTTCCTTTTCATTTGTACGTTTTTTGTCCATAATTATTATTATTTTTTTCTATATATTTGAAAAGGTTTTTAGCGCCGTTACCACACTGTAGAGACAATTTATAATCTTTGTTCACTTGGTCTACTGATAATTTTTGGTTTGAATCATCTTTTAAGTACGTTTGAGAAGGATACATTTTAAGACATGAAAACCAGACAATCGTTCAGTGCGTCGTCTGCTACCGCTGTTTGCAAGCCGACGACGCGGAGGAAACCATTGCGCATGCGTGAGAAGACGAACTAAATGCACGCACGGTCTATGGGGCTGAAACATACGTGACGTAGCCACTTCATTTTCATTCAAGTAATTTAAACCAGTGATATCCATCAAAGACGCTCCTGGTTCTGCAAGTCCTACGTGGAACTCATCTCTCCCTGGTCTAGGTTGACAATAGAAAAGCACTGACCATTGAAATGAGAGTTTCTTTGATTAACAGATGAAGTGTGAAGCCTTTTCTCCGATGTCTGGAGGGGGCACAATAAAAACCACAGGTCCATAGACAGACGTATTTTTTCATCTACCGACGCTACGGAGCGTTAATGATTTTCCCTGTGCGGGGTTTGACCTCGTGCATTATTCCATTACCAGGACACTGCCATAAAAAAATGGTCCTCCGATCATTTTACACCAAACCCTAAGCGTCTGGGGTTTTGTGCACAAACCTTATCAGTCGGCCTACTACCCATAAAAATGACGGCCCTTTTGCAAAGCTCGGCTTCGTTACCGCTTTGGCTTTAACATGATAAGCTCCTAATGTTCCGATCAAATAAAAAAAATCACTTTAAAAAAGAAGAAGGAATTTAGACCACGTCGAACTTTTGGAAAATCCCGGTAACCGTCGATAAATTCAAAATAGTATATGACACAACAAAGCTCGCCCCTCGTACAATCTGAGGGCATATTTGATGCACAAAATCGCCATTGAATAAAAAAATTGTTTAAATGCAAGCAATAAATATTAATTATCAACTTATTTTTCTTAATATTTTTAGTATGGCAGGTAAATAAAACCTATTTTACGCCTGGAAATACCCGAAGCTATCCGCAAGTATCGACGAACTGCATTCAGCAACTTCGGACACATTCGGAAACGAACCCCCTCCCACCAGCCAGTGGGGGGGGGGGGGGGGGGGGGGGGGGGGGGGGGGGGGGGGTAAAGAATGATCTTTTCCATTCAAATGCTCTTTTTTTCACCAGCGTAAACCCCCAATATTTGTAATACTTGTAAAGAGTGCCCTTCTTTTGTTAACAAGTCTGGTTTTTTTGGTCTGAATTAGTGCCCTTTGAAAAAAGAAGAAAAAAAGGCGTGCCCTGTTAGTGCCACTGGCAGTTACGGGTGCCTTAAAAAAAAATGAATTTTGCCCATTTATCGCCCTGAAAAGCGCCATATATTGATCGTTAGTGTGCAGAGTCGTCGGTTTTGAACAGCGCCCCCATCGACAGATGATACTAGCCCTCGTGTAATTTTGCAACGTCGCACACTTATGTCAAAATGCTCTTATTTTAACCATATAGTTAATTTCCTGGGCTGAAATTCGGACTTAACATCCCTTTTATAAACCTCTTCCATTTGCGACGAATCAACCCACCTTGGAAATTCCTAGTTTTTGGGTAAATCCATATATCTGTTTCGTGAAAGACTTGTGGGGTACCAAAACGGTACCCCGCAAGTCGGTGTGCATTCCTTGTGGGGTACCTCCCATTGTTCCGGTACCCCACAAGGCAGTGTTTGTACACGCACACACACCCACACCCACCCACATGTTTGTTTTACATGCTGTATGTGAAATTCCTTTGTTTTCGTGAACACAAAATAACTTTACTTAAACTGTGAAAACTCTTTCAACCCGAAATTGGTTTGTTAATTTCCTTGAATGTTTCTCTTCTTCTGCGACGCATAACCCTAACCCGAAAATGTCTCAATAAACATGTTTTTCAGAGAAGGCGAAACGTTATGTGGACACGGCTTAGTCCACATAACGTCAACACAACCTGCATTATGTGGACATCTTTTGTTCACATGTCCACATAGTGACTGTAAGACAATCTCACCCATACACACCCAGACTTACTGAAATTTGTGTTCTGGTGGAGTCACTTCTTTGTTATCGTGTAATAAAGTTTTCGAGTTTGAAAGTGTAGTTTCAAAATGCTCCTATTTTAACCACAATTAATTTCATGGGCTAAAATTCGGACTTAATATACTTTACATAAAAAAGTTCAATTTGCAAGGGATCAACACACCTTGGAAATTCCTAGTTTTTGAGTAAAATCCATATAATCTATTTCGTGAAAACCTTGTGTATTCACTTATGGTTGCAGACCAGTAAATCGGTCCGAAATTGCCTACGCCGGGCAAATCACGATTTGCATGCCCTCATAATCTTCAGTATTTTAGCATGCTGTGGGCCATGAACTTGAGGGTTTGTAATTAATATGGGTGGAAGCCGAGCACAGGACTGTGAGCTTGTAGTTCCGTTCAATTTGGATGAAACTGGGGCCCTTAAAGTGCTTTATTTTCCAATGGAGTGTAGGCATCGTTTTTCAAAATGGCGATGGGCTTCAGGACGATTTTCAGGGGTGATCATCTTCGGATGGAAATTTCTAGTAAAAGTCATCAGTTGACTCCCCAAAAATTGAAAAGAAATTGAAAAATGAAATGAAATCAGCTTTAATTTGATGTGTGACTCGAACACTTTGAAAAGTTGTAAGTATTTTTCCCGAATTTCTGAATTGGGAGCATTTACCATTGGGGTTTATGGAAGTTCATTTACTGGTCTGTAACCTATAATTTCAAAATGGCGCCTTCCATCGTTTGTTGTAAAATATGTGCGCACGCGTTTTACATTCCACGACAGTGTTTTTTTTTTTCAGGGGGGGGGGCGGGACCTGGGGGGGGGCAGCGTTTCAAAAGGGGTCACCAATGGCGGTTCCGCAACAAACGCGCCCAAAATCTGAATGGGGCCGATGGACCGTCGTCCGATCACAGCAATCTCGAGCGAACAAGGGGGGGGGGGGGTGATTTGAGGTTGGAAGGAGCAAAAACTAAATTATCTTCCATTGGGGGCGCCCTACAGCAAGGTAGCCGCAAACAGAGGGCTTGTTTTCAGGCCAGAAATCGCAGTCAGAGATTTTTTTCTCACATTGTTTTGATGAAATATGAGTCATCCATCCTTCCTCGTGCCGTACAAGTGGTTTGGGGAAATTAAAAAAACTTCGCTTCTTTATAATTTCAAAATGGCACCTTCCATCGTTTGTTGTCAAATGTGTGCGCACGCGCTTTACATTCCACGACAGTGGTTTTTTAAGGGGGCGGGACCTGGGGGGGGGGCAGCGTTTCAAAAAGTGTCACCAATGGCGGTTCCGCAACAAATGCGCCCAAAATCTGAACGGGGCCGATGGACCGTTGTCCGATCACAGCAATTTTGAGCAAACGGGGGGGGGGGGGGGGGGAATTTGGGGTTGGAAGGAGCAAAAACTAAATTAACTCCCGTTGGGGGCGCCCTACAGCAAGGTAGCCGCAAACAGAGGGCTTGTGTCGGAAGTATAAGTGCCCTTTTCAAGAAATGTTTACTCCCCAGATAAAAATGACATCAATACAGGCAATTGAGTCGGTTTACAAAACCCTGTTTGGGTTTTGTAAACTGACTCAATTGCCGGTAGTTATTTTTACTGGATACTGCATCAACTTCTTTGTTGCACTGTACACGCTTCGCCACACAGTCAAAAGTAAAGACTGCAACTCCAGTATATTTCCAAATAGGTTTTTTTTCCCGAACAGATTTGACACAAAGCAGGCGCATTCATCAAATACATACCGAGGTCAGTAATAACGCAGCCGTCCGTGACAGTTTACAAGCACTCAGTTCAGTTACAGTCGTAATAGCACAATGTTTAATGTGTACTGGAACAGTGCAGTTGTGCTTAACGCTAGCTGTGGCAACTTAACTCACAATTGCAATGCAGTACGACGACATACTGCGCCACATCGGCGCTTTTGGCAAGTATCAAAAAGTTTTGATTCTTGTTTTGGTTGCTTATAATATACCGACGGGATGTCAATTTCTGGTGCAGGTGTTTCTGGCTCCGGACACGGACCATTGGTGTGTGATCCAGGGCAGCCAACCTACCAACTGCAGTCAGCTCTTCGAGGCCGAGTGCCAGGAATTGCTGAAGAATTATGGTATCCCGTACGAACTGAGTCCTAATGGAAACAAGGTTTACTCATCATGCGAGCGGTATGTGATGGATGATGAAGACACCGGGAGTGGCTTGGGCCCGAATGCAACTGACGTGAGACCATGCGATGCTGGCTGGGACTTTGACCGATCGCGCTACAAGTCGACTATCATTGAGGATTACAGTCTGGTGTGTGACAGAGCGGATTATGCTGGTCTAGCACAGTCAGTGTGGTTTGTCGGATTGCTTGTCGGTTCCGTTGTCTGGGGTTGGTCCGGTGATTTGTTGGGAAGAAGGAAGACTTTCCTCATATGCCTCCTTCTAGTTACCGTCTCTTCCATAGGCACAGCTTTCATCCCCAACTTTCCAGCTTTCGTTGTATTGCGTGTCATCACGGCAGCATGTGTCTACGGATCCTTCCTTGTGACTTTCATCATTGCCTCTGAGATGGTGGAATCAAAGAAGCGAGTCTTCGTCGGTACTTTGTTTAATTTGTTCTTCAGCTTTGGCTTAATGCTTTTGTCCGTGATGGCGTTCTTACTACGAGAATGGCGTCACCTGCAATTGGCAATTTCACTTCAGTTTGTTTTCTTTTTGCCGTTGCTGTTACTTCTACCAGAGTCTCCTCGTTTGCTCATGTCAAAGGGCAAATTTGATGAAGCGATCGCCATTCTGACCAAAATCGCAAAAGTCAATGGAACCAAAGTTCCGGAGAATCCCTTTGATACGTCTGATGATGTAAAGCTATCTGTCCTAAACCAACGCTCGTCGGTCACACAGCTTGATCTGGTTCGCACACCTAACCTTCGCAGGATCACCCTCATCATGTGGTGTGATTGGTTTGTTGTTAATATGGTCTACTATGGATTGTCTTTGAGCACGTCTACCCTCGGTATAGATGACTACCTAGCTGCTTTTGTGGCAGGAGCCGTTGAAATACCAAGCCTGTTCTTCTCTTGGTATGTGATGGAACGCTTCGGAAGACGTTTGACCATGGTCGCATTGTACGTCGCCGGTGGAGTGGCCTGCCTGATCACAATCTTTCTTCCTCTTGGGGCAGCAAGAGCTGCAGTTGCAATGGTTGGCAAGTTTGCCATAACTGCCGTCTTCAACCACGTCTACATCTACGCTTGTGAGCTGTTCCCGACTGTCATCAGGAGTACGGGTATTGGGGCATGTTCCATGGTGGCTCGTGTTAGCGGCATTCTCTGTCCATTTATCGTGATCCTAGGCAAGCACTGGGTTCCTCTGCCACTCCTCGTCTTCGGTACTTGCTCTGTCATTGCCGGGATACTCTCGCTGATGCTCCCGGAAACTCTGGGGCGCAACTTACCTAATACTATCGCTGAAGGAGAACAATTTGGAAGTAAGTGCATGGACTTAAGTTAATAATCACTTTATTGACAGAGACTACTAACAAAGATATAGTAAATATCCTGTTGTCTGCTTTAGTAATTCATGGCGTTTTGTACGCCAGGAGGCGGCAACATGTTTTTGAGAGATCATGTTTTTGACATTCGAGCGCATTTTAATGGATTGGGGGGGGGGGGTAGTTGATACGAACATATTAAACAAGCATTTGAAGCCGGTGTCAAAGATTTGCACCTGACATACTGTACCAAACGCTTAGTTAAAGCCTAGTTTCAATATCGACGTAAGAAACGCAAAGGGCCCAATCTGCAACGCAGACATATGGAAACATTTCATCCGGAAGTGTCGCCGACAACCCAGACAGACGCAAACTATCTTGCAGACAATCGGCAAAGTTGAACCCGGTTCCGCTTAACTTCGATATGGAAACCAGGCTAAGATCGATTGTGAAATGGTAAGGAGCGATTACGCGCAGAGGTTGTTGACCATAGATATATAATAAAAAGACCAGATCAGCAGCGCGTGCATACGCCCCCATTCATTGTGCAATGAATATGCGCAATTTTTGTGGTCTCTCGTGAACGCGCAATTTTTTTTACATAAGTCATACTGTAACAGCTGAATGTATCTGTCCTCCAGAACGTAACCTATAGCTCAACGCGCGCGAAGTTAGAAATGCGCACCGAGTAGTGCCTCACGCTGCGCACACACGTTGGTGTGCCGCTTCCCGTTTCGCTTACAATGACTTTATTTTCTGCAAACTTATAAACCTGTACACCCGTACATTGTGCAGTCCACTTACTCGAGAGCAAATATTTTCAGTTAAATCGTTTGCAGGGGCACTGCTTCCTCAAATCTCCGAAGTTTTCATGCTTCTGTATTTACTGATCCTATTTCAAACATCTGGTTGAAAGGAAACAACCTAAATGTCAAACCGTTCCCGAGAAAAGACGAAATGCCCCAGCTTGTTTACATCGGACACTACGGAGTACGCATACGTATTTTCTGTCGTCTTCATTTTATTATTATTATTATTATAAATTTTTGACAGAAACATGGGTTGTGGAAAGACTGTACAGCCCATCTTGAACCACTTCCCGAATAAAATACTATCAAAACTTAAAAGTAATCAGTTAAAGATAAAAACTTAAAGTAATCATGTAAACTGTAAAACAAAAAGGATATTATTTTAAATTTAACGTATAAGAAGAAAAGAAAAAGTAAAATTAACATGATAAAATCTATGACCAACCAAAAAAAACTAAGAAAGATAAAATAGACGCGCAGACAAACATTAATAAAAATAAAATAATAAAACGTTAAAAATAAGTACATATAAATTTAAAAGTGGAAAAAACACCCTCAAACCAACTGGCCAACAAAAACAAAGGAGATAAAATAGAGATATTATCAAACAATTACACGCAAGAATAAATTGTTTAAACTAGTAAATATAACTCTGAAAGATAGGAACAAAATAACATTAAGCAATAATGGAAATGCACAATCAAACCAATTTACACACAACAGTGAAGCATTAAAAGAGTTAAAATGTAAAAAAAAAAAAAGTTGAAAATAGATATATATATTTAATAAAATATGTAAAGATATATTACGATAAACCTGCTTAATAAAAAACAAAAATTAAAAGATGCCATATTAAGCTAAAAGGTCAAGAAATCAAACAGGGAACTTTTGAACACATTCACAGATTAACTTTGGATGACGTGTTCAGGCAGACTTTTCCACTCATTTGCAGTACGTATAAAGAACGAATGTTTGAAACAATCAGTTCCGGTTATTTGGGTAAGTATCCCATAAGGCCATACAATAAACATGGCTGCCAACGTGACGCCTCAGGCCGTGTCCGAAACGGGCTTCCAGAGCTACGGCTATACGTCTATTGTCAGCGCGTCCCCGTGTTTTTTTCAATGGGCGTGGACCTAGACCTAGCTCTAGACAGTTGATTCGGATGCAGCCTGTGTCTGTCATAACAGGAGCCAGGCGCGAGTAAGCTGGGGGGAGTAATCGAACGCACTCATTGTGTGTGTCGCATAAATATTATACACAACAACAATGCACAAATGTGTTTTTTACACGTCCGCAAAAGGCGAACATTTTACGGCTGAAATCAAAACTAGCACGAACAGCCCGATTTTTGGGGGTCGCAAAAGTGCACCCCGAAATTCGTTCTCCACGAAATAACACAATTGTGATTCCGCTTTCGTGACGTGAAATAAACCACATTTGTGCATTGGTGCTCTATGTAATTTAATTTACGTGACAAACACAACGTGTATCGTGAGCAATGAATGAAAACATTAGGAAAAACGTATGCGTACTCCGTCGTGTCCGATGTAAACAACCGTTTTTTTCCCGTCTTATAGCCATTTTATAGCGAAACACTGTGTTCGCGTTGTCCCCTCGCTGTGCGTGAACCTGTTACCATGAATGCATCAAGTTTGGCAGAGTCGCCACGATTTCGGCAACGTATACAATTGGCACCCACAACATTTCTTAAATCACAAACATGGCACAGGCCTAGCCCACTCATTCTTTTGTTATAAATGTCCGTAACATCTTCGTTCTGCAGAGAGTTCCAGCTTCTTTTTCTGCGTCAATAGCGCCTGTCACAGCCAGGGAGTGAACACCGCCCAGCCTCCTGCAGACTTTGAGCTTCAATCCACGAACCTCTATGATGGCGTGCCGCAACCTTCAGGGGCTTACATGCCTCTTTCCAGTCGAGAGGAACCTCCCACAGCAGCAGTGAATATTTAGGCTTTATCACACTATCATGTCGCCTGCCAGTGTTGAACTATTGACGGGTCCATCTTTAGCTGACCCATGTCTCTAGCGTTCACACCTTTAGCCGTTTGTTTGGTGTTGGACGTACTTTTCGATCTTGCAAATTGCAAGAACCTAGCGTTTAAATCCTGTCCACGAACGTTGGATCATCATGCAGTCTTTGCGAGGTGGAACTGAGGCCGAAAACTCGTCATTTTGACATAACAAGGTCACTTTGATGTCTCAGTGAAACCATCAAAGACTTAGACGTAATCGAAATAGGTACTAGTTGTTCATTTACGTACCATATTCATTTACAACGCCGTTCAGATGTTTATTCATAAAACTAAAGCATGGTAGAGGGTAATTTTTTGGGTTTGTTTGGTGTTCTTTTCTGTACCTGTTATCTTATAAATATTGATTGCCAAAGAACAATAGGTAAGTTGGCAAACAGAGATATTTACTGCATGTTAATCCGTTCATCCACTTTGCTGCAAATTAGACTACATTGATCCCTTTCTAATAACTGTCTAAATCTCTGGATTGAGGTGTCCAAATGAGATGGGAAAACAGCACAGTGTTGAGAAATAATTTGTGAAGCGTATATAATTGATAGTTAAATAAAAAAGGAGGTTGTATATTTTATATATTTTTTTTCACTAAATGTATCATTTTTTGGATACACACTGTATGTATGTCATATTTTTTTGATGTCACAAGATTATGTCCAAATGCTTTGTGTTCACTAATTCACCTTATAGTAGAGTCTGTTTATATCGATGTTGATTCACACTGTGCATGTAGTAGTAATAGTTTTACAATGGTTATAATAGTTGCTTTAAAATCATGCATTAATCCCATTTACTTTTATTTTATTGCATTGTATTGTAAATTATTGTAATGTACATAGTACTTTGTAATGTATACAGGGCCAAGACCTGATCCATAACACAATTGGGGGAGGGGGTGGGGCAAAAATTTTTTTATTTTCTAAAAAGTGGGCACAAAAAATTCCCCTTACCCCAATTTAATATGAAAAGCAAGGGGAGGGGTTGCAAATGTATTTCTTCTGTTAAGTTTTTACGACATTCTAAACATAAAACGAGGTGTGTTTGTTTTCCCCCTGGATCCGCTGTTTTGCAGGGCCGGTTGAAAGAGTTTTAAACTGTTAGGGCATAAATGTATTAAATAGAAGTTAATGAACCGCTTCATTGCGTCCTATATAGGTAATCAGTATGATACAAAAAAGCAATTACATTTTGCATGAAACCATCAAATCACTACATTGTATAATAACATTTTTTTAAACAAGACGGCTTTTAAAAAGAATTTTGTTTAAATAACAACACGCAATATGGGAAAATACAACTTTTTGGGGGAATTAGAGCTTAACAGTCAAATTATATGCATTTGCATTAAAATTATTGAAAACGTGCCTTCAAGAGGAAAAATACTCTAAAACCAAATATAATGGTTTCAAACTGAGCAAGGTGTGCTGTGTTACCCCTTGACTAAATGTATTGCAACTTGCAATATGACCTATTTTCAAATTACAAACTCTTTCAACACTGGAATACATCGCTCCTCCAGATGATATGCTTTGTAACAGTTAGTCCTAATGATAATGATAAGATGATCGGACTATGTAGCAAACTGTCGTGCTCTTTGCACCTTTTAAAGTTAACGTGTTTTATGCCTTTTTGCTGTTTATAGTTTGGTGAGGGATATTTCCTTGTGTTTTATATAAATGCTTACTTACCCTACAATCAAAAGTAGAAATCATTACTGAGGAGGCACCACGCTCACGTGAAGGTGGTCGCTCGCAATAAATAATACCACTTTTCAGGTATTTTGGGGGTCGAACAATCTGAATCTGATGTTATTTTAACGATTTGAGGCAACACAGACGCCCAAAGGGACCGCCATATTGGCAAAATCCAAAATGGCCGCCACACACCGCAGTTAACAACTAAACTAGCTAGAATCATAAGTAATACAACTTTGTAGGGGTTTTCGGTGTCAACGAATCTGAAACTGAGGTTATTTTAATGATTTCATGCAAGACGGATGCCCAAGGGGGCCGCCATATGGAACAATTCAGGCCGCCAGCCAAGTTAGAGGTCAGTCACAGTTAAAAACTAAACGAGCTAGAAGCATTAATAATACCATTTTACGGGGGTTTTCAGGGTCGGAGAATCTGAATATATTGCTTTATTAAAGATTGTATGTCATATTTTGTCCTAAAGGTCATTAGGGATTAACTTATCAATAAAGATTATTGTTTGAACTATTTTTATTTAAATATTTGGAGATGATATCTGCAGTGACAAAATGCTAATGCCGCTGTGTGCGTTTGAATGGAGCTGTTTATTTACAATATGCACATGTACCAGTGATTGATATTACCACCTTTACGTTCTGGCTCGCCCTCTATGATGCCCGGCCAGAAATGAGTACTCCACTGGTCATCACTACCGTCCAATTATGCACATGTCTCCATAATTTGTAGAGGACAGAAGTGCACGAGAATGGCGCATGCCACTGAAGCATCATTGAGAGTGTGGTCCATAGTGGTTGCCATGTACTGGTACCATCTTTGTGCCAGCCCCACTCGATGAAGTCAGGAATTTCCTGCTGGACCGAGGTGGCCTGTAGTAGCGGTTGCTTTACATGTTCAAACAGCACGGCAGTAGCTGGTATGCTGAAGAAGTAGTGAAGAAGCGATGTCTGGCCCATTTTGACACCTGCAGCTGCACCACTCCGCTCTCCATGAGTATGGCGAAGCAAGACGTGTCGCACCATGTTAGGCTTTGGAAGAGGGGTGGTGCCGGGGACTTTGTCAGACCGAGATAGTAAATGCTATGGACTAGTATGTTACTGTACTTTTCACCACTTCCGAAGTCCATTAAGAGCTCCAATAGGCCAAAGATCTCCAAAACAAGCTTGAAATGATCTCGAAAGTGATCGCAGTGACTCGACTCTCAATTTTTCAGGCTCAGTGGGTCGCATAACGAATTACTCCAGTGTGCCCATTACATTCTTACAATGCTCTGAGTAGGCGGTCTGCATGACCAGGTAAAGTGACGTGAGAGAGACTTAATGCGCGTACCTCGTGCCGCTGATGTGATGCTCATTGAGTTCAGACTGTGAGCGAATGTCAGGACCTCAGCCTTAGAAAGGACAGTGGCCCTCCCAGAGTGAGGCAGGTGCTTCCCTATCACATTGATAAATCTTGTCTTAAATGTTCAGCACGCTGTACGCCAATCATAGGTACAAACTTGTCTTCTCCTCAAAAAAAAAATCGGTGGTATTGACTTTTGAGAGCAGTTTGATGATATCATACAGTACGTGACTGGTCCAAACACGCTGGTCTGGCCTGGGTTGAGGAATTCAGTGCCCTGCATCGTGTAGTTCCATCGCGTGTTTGAACATTGAAGATGTGGATGCGGCCTTGTCTAGGAATAGGGCATAGATCCCGATTTCGGCATGGGGCTTTGCCGACTCGTTTGCTAGCACTGATTTCATTGTATCCCAACCAGGCGATGATATCACAATCTGCAAACTTGCCTTGCTTCAGCAAGCTGGTACATGTGCCATCCAAGCCTCATCCTTTCTTGACCTTGTGAACTCGCACATCAAGCAATGGCCTAACTTTGCTTGCCAAGTCTGGGTGCAAAGACGTGAGTTCAATTGGGGGAGGGGGGAGGAGGCTGGACCCTGAAAACCCATTAAAGGTGGTATTACTTAGGATTTTAGCTCGTTATTTGTTCAACTGTGATATATTTGGCGGCCATTTTGGATTTTGCCAATATGGCGATCCCTTGGGGCGTCTGTCTTGACTTAAATCGTTAAAATAACATCAAATTCAGATTGTTCGACCCCGAAAATACCTGAAAAGTGGTATTATTTATGATTCTAGCTCGTTTAGTTCGATTGACCTCTGACCCGGATGGCAGCCATATTGGATTTTGCCAATATATATATTATTTATGATTCTAGCTCGTTTAGTTCGATTGACCTCTGACCCGGATGGCAGCCATATTGGATTTTGCCAATATGGCGGCCCCGTGGGGCGCCCGTCTTGGCGCCCGTCAAAAATCGAAATAGTATGGTATGGACGACATCTGTGCCAAGTTTGGTGCTTTTGGAAGAATCTGAACCAAACAATCCCTAAGACTCCCGACTATTTCTGTGAGTGTGCTAATTCTCGAGTGTAATTCAACACGAATCTAAAACAGTTTCTTTGTTTTTTAATTTGTATGCAAGAGCAAAAAAGCCTATGGAAAATCCGGTCCCTTACTATTTAATGTCATGCGTTCTAGGTACGTGTATATCCGTAAAGAAACTTCAGAAACTAAGGTACTCGGGCAAGATCCGAACCCACGACCTCCCCTTGAGGAAATGTGCTCTGATTAGTGAAGGAATTTGTTCTGAAACTCTTACTTTTTTGTTGTATTTTGTATCTATATTTAGGTTTGTAACTGACTATCGTCTGTGCTGTTTCTTCGGGTCAGAACTACCAAAAAGTGCAAGGAGTGGTTTGAGATTCCCGAACTCTTTGTCTATCGGCTGGTACCCAACTACGTCTTGAAGGTCTTCATGTGGATCTTGGGTACCAGCGCAGTAGTTGGCAATGGCTTCGTCATGGTTTGGAGGTGTCGGGGGGAGACAGGAAACCGTGCTCGTGGGATGATTAATTCCTCATTGGTGTTCAATCTGGCTGGTACTGATGCTCTGATGGGCTTGTACATGTTAATCACAGCGGGGGCTGATGCGTATTACGAGACCCATTACTTTGAGGTGTCTGGCGAATGGCGAACCAGCGCCGCGTGTAAAGCAGCAGGGTTCACCTTCATCATGGCCAACGAAGCGTCTGTGTTTTTCTTAGTCCTCATCAGCGGGGCGAGATTCATGTTCATCGTCTACCCATTTTTCTCCTATCACCCGTCTGACTCTCAAGGGGGCTAAGATTGTTGTGGGCTTCGTCTGGCTCCTGACGGTCATTCTTGCCGTGATATCCACAGTTCTGGCTTCGGATGAGGCGTCCAAGGCTTATGGTCTCTCAGATGTTTGCATTGGTCTGCTGCTGACGACCAAAGTTACAGGTTCTGAGGTGAAGAAAGACGTCGTTAATGTTGGAGGAATCGGTGAAGTGCATGTCCTACGCCAGACCGGTACCATCCAGCCAGTCCGCTACCTGGGTCTTTTCTATCGTTCTGTTCCTGGGTGTCAATCTGTTTAGTTTCTGACTCATTCTGGCCTGCTACGTCGCCATCTTCGTCAAATTCAAAGTGACAGCTAGACGAGTTCGCAGCCGCAGTGCGCGAGATGAAAGCGAGGTTCGGATGGCCGTCAAAATGGCGGCCATTGTCTTCTTGACGGATTTCCTGTGTTGGATCCCTGTCATTATCATGGGAATTCTCTTCCAGGCTGGCGTTGTTGAGAACAATCCTGAGGTCTTTGTCTGGAGCGTTGTCTTCATCTTCCCATCAACTCCTCCATCAATCCTTATCTCTACACATTCCTGGATGTTTGCCTAAAAAACAACGCAAAAAAACATCGCAAAAGAAGGAAGAAATTCCAGTCGAGGCCACGCCCTCACCATAAATACCTCTATGGCTGATGAATGAATACTAAATGATGAAAAATGCTAAACTGCGGGCTCTAAATATTGCATTTTTTTATATCACCAATAAGAGGTCAAACAAACAAACAAAACAAGCATCTTACATAAAGGGTCCTTGATTTTGTTGTTAAATTTCGATTTCATAATATAAGATGCCCTTAACTTTGTTTTTAATGAAAATGACGTACATGGAATAAGAACTGAATTAAAATATCATGTTTGTTTTTACTTGATTATTGAAAACGTTTAGCTAAAAGATCAATGAGCGTTATCGTCCTTTTTAGAAACTATTTCAATGGAAGTGTTCAGATTTATTACATGCATTGTCTTCCATTAAGACTCATTTAAGAGAGAACTACAGGGTGTCTCAAAAAAAGGTAACCCTACTTGAAAGGGTTATTATGGCCAGACTATTTGTCTACAAGCAAAAAGCATGGTATCATCTTAAAGCTGAAGCTGTGCGCTTTTCAATGATACCTTTGGTTACATTCCAGAGTCACGCATCACGGAGCACCATTGTCTTGAAGTTGTGGCGCAAAATGCAGTTGGTTCACTTTTGAACCCATGTCATTCTAGCCTTTAGACAGTGTGTTAACCTCAGGTTGTCACGATGGTTCAGCTAACAGCAGAGCAGAGAATCTCTGTGGTCAAGAAATTACATGGACCCATAAGTTTGCAGGCTACACAGCACAGGATGCCTTTGGAGAAGCATTCCTAGACTGAGAACCACCAGCAAAGAAAACAATCTGGGCCAATGTGAGAAAGTAGGAGGCACATGGAACCAGCCTCAACCACAACAAAGGACGTTTAGGAAGGCCAAGTACAGCGAGATCTCAGGAAAACATCGCTCCGTACGACAGCGGAGGGAGGGTCTTGGCCAATGTGAGAAAACCAGAAACTTTTGCTGCTGTTAAGTGTTTTACCTATGATCATGAATAAAACCATGAATAAAATCCATGAATAAAAAACATGAATAAAAAACATGAATGTTTGTTCATCAGGAAAGTGAACCGACTGCATTTTTGCACCACAACTTCAAAGACAATGGTGCTCCATGATGCGTGACTCTAGAAATTAACCCAAGGTAGCATTGAAAAGTGCACAGCTTCAGCTTTAAGATGATACCATGCTTCTTGCTTGTAAACAAATAGTCTGGCCATAGTAACCCTTTCAAGTAGGGTTACCCTTTCAAGTAGGGTTACCTTTTTTGATACACTTACTCATACATCATTTCTTTTTACATTTTGGTAGAGTTAAGTGGGATTTAAAGTATTATGGAGATTAGCAACCTCAGTATTTTAATCAGGAATTAGACAGTGCAGAAACGTCTATTAATTTGATGTATGAATGTTTTTTAGACCTGTATGCTTTATAAAAGTGTTTTAATTTTCGCATTTAAGAGAATGTTCTTCCTTTTTTATTGTTTTGTTAAAGTTTATTTGGATTTAATGTATCATGCATATTAGCTAGCTTAGTATTTTAATAAGTTATAAGTTCAGAAACTTTTAACTTGATTATCTATTTGATATATTGTATTAAGGCAGACGCAAAATATCGCTTTCGTTGATTTCTGGCAGATAAAGCCGGATTTGTAATCAAAATCACGGAAATAAAAGCATTAATTGGCGCTAAAATATCATGGTCATTGTCATAGCCCGGCAATGTCATAATCATAACATTAACAACGACGAGCGGTGCCGAATTCGCCCGAAGCAACGCGAAAGGTTTGAGCCGCTATTAGAAGCCTGCCGAAGCCTCGGCGTTCCAAATAAGCGTTTGGTTGCTGTTGGGCTTGGCGCGGAGCCATAGAGCAAAATTAATTAATTTGATATAGCTCTGTGGCGGAGCCGCATGAAGACAAAGCCTCGTACGTAACTTGGAGCTGAAGCCAAGCCGCAGCCGAAGCCGAAGCAAAATGTTTGGTAAACGACCTATGTGTCTGTACTGTGCATCGGGCTCTCGAAAGTTCCATATAGACGCGCCCTGGGAGCACCCTCTCCTGTGACGTCACACATCGTGAACGTTGGCGCACTTGATGTAACGTTGGAGACGCACGCGTCACGAAACAACACATGGGTTGTGCGCGTTGTGTGCGATGAGTATACAGTAGCGATCCTCTTTTCTTGAACGCACGTACGTCTGTCGACATTGTTGCTCGCTACAAAACTTCGTCGACGTTTGTTTTCTTTCCTCTACTTCGCAAGTTCGACAACGTATACTCTCATCATCGACCTCAGCCTAAGATTACTATGCTGACGGTTCGTACTCCGGACCCGTGGATCGTCATGTTCCACGTGATGTCTTCATTCATGATGCTGGATCCGATGGAGACTTACTTCAACCAATCTCGGCTGGTACAAGCCATGAACGTCTTCGGCAAAAAGCAAGTATCCAGTGATTTGGATAAATACTTGACAGAAGGTGCTATCATGTATCTTTGTCCTGGCAACGCAGAAGTATTGAAAGTATTTTACATAAAGTCAAAGAAAACTGCAATTGCCACCATTGGCGCTCAAAACATAAACTTTTTTTCTAAAAAAATATTTGAAATGGTTCATAAGCTCATAACAGACACACATTTTATGTATGTTAATGTAGGCTAACGATTCCATATAATCATGCTAGTTTAAGTATAAGCCAAATATCAAGCCAAGTTTGTCAAGGCTGCAAGCTTTTACGGATTTGAAGTTTTTTCATTGTGTCGGGTTTTTTTTGTCCCAAACGGCGAGCATTGAGCTCCCCTAATCCCTGCTCGGCACAAACCGGCGGTAACGCCCCAACCGAGCAGGGACCCGTCACCACCCAACGGGAGCCGCAGCTCGCTGAGTCCCCGGAGGAAGCCCGAAGTGTTCTCCTCCTGGAGGACAAGCTGAAGGCGACGAAGCGAAGACTGGAACAGGCCCTGGAGCAAGAGGCCCGAGCCAAGGACTACAAGACCAGACTTGTGAGGCACCGACGCAGCTTGGAGGAGCAGCGGATCAGCAGCAGGCGGGAAGTTGAGGACCTGCCGGTCGTCCTCAGGCGCTTCCGTCTCAGGCACCAGGAGGAGATGACGGCTCTGTGGGAGATTGCGGAGTGGACTCGGCAGGAGTGCAGTCGGATGAGGGACAAGGTGAACCGCCTGAGAGAGCGAGTCGTGAAGATGAAGAAACAACATGAGAAATGGATAGCAGGTACATGTATCATCTGCATCAAGTGCTATGTAATGTTACACCTTTGCATTCGCACAAAAAAAAAATATGAAAGCCATGACAGATGTTCAGGAATGTTTCGGGTATTTTTTTTTTTTTTAGTTTTCATTTCATTCTATTTTATTATTATTTTTTTTTTGGGGGGGGGGGGCTCTCACACAAAATACTGGACTCGGTAGAAATGAAAACAAAACAACACCTACTGGGCGAATCTCGGTCAAGTGCTTGAAGCCTTTGGTCTTAGTTAAGGATGACTTCTTTACTGCGCCCCCCCCCCCTCGCCACGAAAAAAACGACAGTCATGTATGAACTTGTCCTGTCCATACCAATACCAAGTAACTTGCGAATGAACGAAGAGGCTCGAATACCTGTATCTTATTTATATATATATATATATATATATATATATTTCAGATCACGACATCGAAAACCTAAAACCTGAAGACCTGGCGTGTGCGCTGAAATGCTCGAAGCAAAGGGAGAAGGCACTGGACCAACAACGACGCCACTTGGAGCTCCAGCAATCCCACGCCGCCTTCATGAATCAACAGCTGCAAGTCAGGAACAACCTGCAAGAACGCACACATCAGCTCAAACAGCGGCTGTCGCAGACCAAGAAGGAGTACCGACAGAAAGAGAGGGCCAATCACGTGATAGATGGTCACCTGACCAAGCTCAGGGGCGACCTGGCCTGCCTCCAACAAGATCTGGTTCTGCGCCCGCAGCTCGAAGTCATGCAGGAAAAGTGCCGCCGATGCATCGCGTTTGTAAAACTGCTGGGAAAAATCTTCGTACTGGAGGTCATCTGTGGACTATGCATATACTTCGCATTGTTCTCTTTGCTTTAAGAAGCAATCCAAGAAATTTAACTCAACTGAAACAATTCAGATATCCGAGAGCAGTGCAACTTTAAGGAATATCTTAATTTCAATAATCGTTTCAAGGCAGCCGAAATTTTGACCACATAAAACGTAACAATATTTCAATTGGAAACAACTTTGGGGAGGGGGCAATTATAAGTTCATCAAAACACAACTCTGTAAGTCTGACAACGTATAACTTATTTAACAAAATGAAATTTAGACAGGATATAATATCACTCTATGCACGTAATCCTCTTTGGATCCACACACTATTCTTTATTGCGATACATCGTTAACGGTAGCTAACTCCATTTTAGAACTCGGTTAAAATCATCTCGTTTATCTTTTACCGCATCAAATTCAGAAGAAGAAAAAATCAACATTGACTATCAGCACTGCCGCAAAATGGAGATTAACTCCAATTTGTTCTTCTTTATAAACAAACAAAAATACCAAAAAGACAATAAAATGCCGGAAAATACAGACAAAAATCATCTTGAACACTTATTGGATGTCTGCGTGGTATTCTCATTTTTCATTTTGTGACCTTATAACCTGATGAATATTAACGTGTCTGAGTTTGTTTGATGTTTTCGTTTCTCTTCGACATGAGTGATTTACAATTCGTTCGCTTTACTGGTTTTACATTTTGCTTCATTTTATGAGGGTTAAAACGGGCCCGCCAATCTTGTGAAATGAACAACTCGGGAGCGTTTTGCACGTGTAACTTAGTTTGATCGAATTACATTAAAGGAATGCTATCATTTCTTTCTCGCGCCATACCAATGTTTTTTTCCCCGTAAATTTTAATTTTCGTCGATGTTCACTGTCTGTTTAACCCAACTTTCATTTCAGTACCCCTCAGTCAGGACAATAAAAGGAAACAAATAGACTGTTTTCTTTTCATTGGGACGAGAATAATACGGAGCCATCAGGTATCTTGAAAGAACGGAACCATCAGGTATCCTTTAACTAATTGATACATTTTTAAACCATTTATATTTCCAGCAAGCTGGCACCGTACGCAAAAACACAATGCACAAGGACGAGCTCATCATAAACTATTCATCTAAAGATGAAAAAAGGTGGACAAATCAATCAGAACGATCTTTTCCATTATGATCTGGGTGATATCAAAAGTATATTGCGGTCAATTGCCTCTTCGTAACAGGTGACGTTAATTAGACTCCGCTCAAAGGGCTTTGTGTGTGGGATAAATTTTTTCCCATCACTGATTGTCGTAACAATTAGTCTCAAAAAGCTGATTGACGTGTAGGATGGTACCATTTTCAAACGGGGGAATAACTTGTTGGTCATATGAGGGGGAGTATAAAAAAGGCAGCCCATTTATTGGCAAGCAAGACTTCATTTAAGGAATGTATTTAAGAAATAAAAAATAACTAAAGGCACTGAAAGGAAAACATCTAATACTTATACATCCCTGAGCAAGTAACTTGGTTTGTTCATTCCTTAAAATCACTCACCAGTGACGATTAAGGCCTATTTTTTTTTTTTTACACTTTTCAACAAAAATGTGACCTAATATGATATTGATGCTCTGAAAAACTTTCAGATTTCTGATTCAATCGCTTAATTATTGTGAAGGATCATCCAACATTTATTTCCACGCAAACGGATGACGAGACACCACCTCGCATAATTACTATTCATATCTGGTAATGAAACCGAGGATTCCTCAAAATCGCCTGCAAGCCTGAAGACAGAATATGTAGACAAAAGACAATGAAAAATACAGTTTTAGAGGCGGGAGGAAAACCACAGGAAAATATTATAGGGAAAACCCACATGGAAGAAGATAGGGACTGTAATCCAATCCACATGTGGACCACGGCAAGAGTTGAGCCCAGACCACACAGAGGTAGAAGGCGAGGAAAGAACCACTACATCAACTACTCCCCTATAATGAATGGAACAACCCGTTATACTAATTTGCATTATACGGTGTTTCGGCCTATAAATATTCTCGTGGGAACTTTGCAACACCACTCCGGCGTTCCAAATCGCTTCTTTCATCCGCGTCAGTCTCATCTCAAGCTTCAAGTGTTTCGCCTTTAACTTTTGGCACGGGACAACGCTCAGATTAGAAACATGAAGATCGCCGTGGTACTGGCAGTTTTCGCTATGTTCGTGCAGGGGTATGTTATCACGGTTTTCAATTAATTGTATTTTTGCAGGTCCTCCATCGAAACTATTTTCCTTTTTGTATCTAACTGTGTAACCGACTGACTGACTTTCACTTGTGACTTAGTCTGGTTGCTGGAATGGTGAAGAGAGCAGGGCAGTAAAACCAGCCCACTAAAGTCTTTCAGCGAAAAGCCATTCTGAATCAATTGAATAGATTTGTTTGTGCTACCGAACCAGCTTTACCAGCCTTGTCTTGCCTATCTTTTTTTCTAAATTGAGATTTTGGGCTGTACATAAACCACATTTAAAAAGAAAGTTAACCAAATATAATGAAAGATCCAGTATATTTTTGATGGTAAGTGGTATATTTTGTTTGAAAAAAGTTTCACCACACATATACGACACACAAACTGATGATGAACGTGTTCAGCATTTGTCGTGAATGTAGTTAAAAGAATTGAGGGGGAAACACGGATTCATTATGGTAACTTTCAATTTTGAATTTAGCCCTGAAATCCATTCCCCTTTTTACACAGTTCACAGAAGTTAGCATGCATGTCAAATGTTTTTTGATCTCCCAAAGCAAAGCATATGATTGAAAAAAAAAAATCCTTAAAACACCAGAAATTTGGCACTTTCCCTTCAACTATACCTACACTTTAAGGAAATTCTGCAGTTGGTGCAAATTAACTCATGTTCCCATTTTTTTTTGTAACACTGAGCGAGACTGCTAGGGTGATAGAAATGTGGGGTCTCCAGGATTTTTTTCTAGAGGGAGGCAAAACATATTTTTCCAAAAAACTCTTGTATTTCTCAACATATTCTCGATTTATCAGGTTTTTGCCTATAGCCTTTAGTCAAGTCCCATGCGCTTACCCGGACACGAGACGCACCCCGGATGCTGACACGTAAAAAGACTAGGACGAGCGGCGTAGCCGAGAGGGCCTTTACCATCTCGTGGAGAACGCTAATGTTTTTCTTTACATTTGTCTACCGATTTGGTAGACATGCATAATGCATTACCCGTTGTGAATTGACCAATGAAAATGCAGAATTACTAACGTAAATCATGCAGCCGTCGTCTGGCGCCAGACAGCCATGACGTGCGTGCTGTTGCTGGTAACCGCAAACCACCGTTAGATGATTGGTTTATATTGCTTGATTTATATTGCGTGAATAAATGAATAAGTGATTAGTTCCACGAGATAGTAAAGGCCCTCGCTGCTTTGCCGCTCGTGCTAGTCTTTTTACGTGCCAGCATCCAGGGTGCGTTACGTGTCCGGATGGTCCGGTATAGGCGCGTGGGACTTGACTAAAGGCTACATTTTGCCCCACCCCCAACCCATTAAATTTACACCACTGTGACTTCGCGCCTCTTTTTCTTTCTTTTTTTCTTCCTTCCTTTTTTTTTGGGTTGCTTTTAGAGGCCAGAGTCTAGGCTGCAAGCCATGTTCGGAGGTGAAGTGCGTGTCCGTTCTGGAATCGGATTGCTACAAGGGTGCCGAGCTCGTCACAGATCACTGTGGGTGCTGCGATGTCTGCTCTAAGGTATGGTGTTTATATATATTACGGCCAAACCAGATCAGTGGTGTAAGGATAATGTGGTCTGGACCAAGCACGTTAGCCTGAAGCGTCAATAGAATCAAACTATTCAAGCTAGGCCTAAAAGGAATGGTCTACATTATTTATAAGAATCAAACTAGGCCTATAAGAAATGGTCTACATTATGTAGCTGATGATGATGGCGGGTGGGGGTGCTGCATAAAAGACGTGCTGGGTCTGTTTACAAGGAGCAGCTGAGCAGAAAATAGTATTGCATATCGAATTCAAGAAAAATACGAGCAAATAGAGCTACATTAAAATAATATCACTCTATGGTACCGGGGGGAATCAGCAAGTATGCATCACGCGACGTTTGGACGTGAAGTGCATTTTCTAAGGTTTTTCTGTGTGTGTGCTTGGAAAAGAAATAAGTGACCTGATACACCGCACCCTTTGGAGACGTGTGTACAATAAGGAACAAAATATTGTATACGTCTCCACATGGCAATTTCTACAGATGAATACAAGGTTTTCACGAAATAGATATATGGATTTTACTCAAAAACTAGGAATTTCCAAGTTGTGGTGATTCGTCGCAAATGGAAGAGTTTTAGAAAAGGAATATTAAGTCCAAATTTCAGCCAAGGAAATTAATTCTGGTTAAAATAAGAGCATTTTTTAAACTACACTTTCAAACTCGAAAACTTTAGTACACGAGATCAACGGAATGTTTACACAAGGATACAAATTGCAGTATGTGTGCTTAACTCCTCTGTGTTGTGTGGCTCAAGTCTTCAGCGCTATGACGGGGCCCCTAAACGCTCAGTTTTTAGCAACTAAATCACTTTTGTCGGCTTGTTTTAAAAACGGAAATGCGAGGAGAAAAAATAGCAGCCGGGTAGGGTGGAAAAAAGCTCATTTGGATTATGCCTATAATGCAATATAGCAATGATAGAAAACAAATAATAAATAGCGATATAAAAATTAGTGGAAAATTATTCACATAAACATAGTCATTACAAAAGAATAGTGTAAAAAGTAATGAATGATCCCATGCACGGATACCGATTGTTATTACATCCGCAATGGGCATATGCACTGTCATTAATACTTCAACAAAGTGAACATGCATTGGAGTCGTAGCCTAGTGAATATAGGCCTATTTCAATTTGAATTGATAAGCACGATCATACAACCTTCAATCGCGCTTGATATATTTTCTTCCTTTGTTTGTATTTGTTTTATTTGTCAGGGTTATGATGAACCGTGCGGAGGTCTGGAGATGATGGGCGAATGTTCGCAGCACCTCGGTCTCTACTGCCAGTTACCTCGGTGTAAAAATCCCAACGACATCGTCTGCAAATCCCAACCTGGTATCTGCAAGTTGTAATAAATATGAACAAAATGTATCTGGCCGAGCATAATGACGATTTTGATATTAATTACTATTCTAATAAACCATAATACGGCCTTCGGTGCCGGTATATAGTATCAAATAGTACATACACAAATTGGGTTTACGAAAACTCGGCTTCATCTCTGGTTCGGAGCCGGGTAGAGTGGAAAAAAGCTCATTCGGGTTATGCCTATAATGCAATATAGCAATGATAGAAAAACAAATAATAAAATTTTGATATTAATTATTATTCTAATAAACCATAATACGGCCTTCGGTGCCGGTATATAGTATCAAATAGTACATACACAAATTGGGTTTACGAAAACTCGGCTTCATCTCTGGTTCGGATTCAGGCCTTAGCTACAAGTATAATCGTCAGCACCCCAGCTCATTTAATTTTTTCCTCATTTTTGCTTCAGGAATGGAATTCTAGGGAATAGAGCCTGAAAGTAAGAGGTCGCGCGGCCCGCCCATGGACATTTTACACTAGGTTGCCCTTTCTCTTGCTAAACTTCTTGACACTGCAGAATGATTTCTAACTGTAACCCCCCCCCCCAAAAAAAAATAACATTCATGTTGGAATTTAATCTTGGTTAAAAAAGATTGATGACAATTCACTTGGAGATGGTAACAACAATCTTATTTACTACCTTTCGCATTCGGCATTTTCGTTCACGTTTGTTTTCACATCACGTACTTGCCCGAGAACGAGAATGTATAACGACACTTAGATTTACCTACAGTCGCTAGGCTCTGGATTTATAGCGGGGTGGCTCGAATGCAGTCCTTATCAAACTTATTTGTTGTCGTAAATACTAAAGAGTCCTTTAAATATTATAGTAAACACTGCCTATCCTAAAAGTCATCTTGGTCTCTTTAACTTTCAGCTTTCACCCTACGACCGCCACAAAAAATGTTTCTCAGAATTGTCTCTTCTTACAAGTACACCGAGTTTCACTAGTCCGCAGGTATTTTAGATTTTCGGAATTGAAAATGCGCGTTTCGTGTCAGTAACGCATAGAAGATATGCGCCTCGGATATTGTCGGGCCTCAAATAATTCGAATTGTTGTTACATGCATGTCTGATTCAATAACTAAACATACTGGTTTCTATTTTTTTTGCTCGATGTCTCATTAAACCTGTTGTATTACTTGAAAAAAAAATAACAATTTTAAAACAAAATGTACTTTTCGTTAACTCGAAAATAACATTGGGGATGCAACTTTAACACAACAATCCGGATGCACATGTACATGGGTATTGTTGGTTTCACTGTCTGGTGAGTATTCATCAGCTCGATGAACTTGTCAAGGCAATACAACCGTTGACCTAACTCGCATTCACTTCCATTGGGAACAGATGGAGCAAATGGCTGCATCGCAACCCACGCAGCTATCGGGGAACATTGAATAGAAAAAAAATGATACAAATAAAAAAACCCGAAGTTATACACATATTACTTTTGTGTAAAATATGTTTTTGTTTTACTTTTTCTTAGGTTACAACATGTCTAACGCTTTAACGTAATAAATCGTATATGTATGCATTTAGAAAGAAACAATTGAATACATTCTCATGGTTATTTTGTTATCGTGTCTCATACAAAATCACGGCAAATTGATTGGTCAAAATTTCATTAAAGGAAGGACAAACATGTCGCTACACCTTTTATTCGTGCCCAAACCCACCTACCGGCTGCACAATAATCTAGGGTATGTCATTCTGCTATCAGAGCTGTAGACGCAGGGATGAAAGTGGACTCTGACATTTTTGCCTGAAATTTCACACAAAAGATAGGTACATGTAGCCTATACACACACACAGATCGAAAATGTATGCACCCCTTGGTTGTTAAAAACGCCATATCCCACATCACAGCAGTCAACAGTTGTTAAATGTTACGTGAGATCCCATGGGCGATAATACAATGGAAACGACCAGGATGACATTAGAAGGTCCACTACTTGGTCTTTAATTAACTTCTGAAATACATTTCTTTAGCACTTCTAGACCAATGAGATTGCCTAATGTAACACATCATGGGGGAGTACGCCTTGTGGTTACAGTTTGTGGCTCATGCACAGAGGGTTTGGGCTCGAATCCAGCCATTGGCCATATCTGTGTCCACGGGCAAGCCACTTTGCTCCTACTTGCCTTTCTCTACCAAGGAATATGAATGGATGTCAGCATTTGTCAGAGAGTAACCTGCAATGGACTTGCATCCCATCCAGGTGGAATAGAAATATTCTCAGTTGTTTCTGGGAAGCCAGAGAAAACAGCAGCCTGAGGATGATGAGATTCTTCAAGACAACAAAGAGTTTCCTCCAAGTTGGGATGGGTATCCAATAAAAAGGGAATTTCTAAAAGGAAATATATAACATTAGTACAAATCAAAAAAATAATACTACCCAATTATTATGAAATATTTAATACTTGAAAGTCGGTGAATAATAGTTTCAAGCATCTGTAAATCAGGGCACCTGATGTGCTGTCATTTTCAAGAAAAGTGGAATTTTTGTATCAGTTTTGAACGATGGTCGGCTTACCATCGTTGAAAAAAAAAATGGCATTTTGTCAAATACTACCCTTAATTTGCCAAATTTACTTAGTCCACATTTTGTTCACAACCATTTACACATCTGTGAACGGGTGCAAGCATACAAGGGAACCAGACAACAAGAACAGCATATATTTCTTGCTTTTTCCAGGCTTTTCCAACAACAGTGTAAAAATATTTGCTATAAAATACTAACCCCCAAATCCATCCATTTCTGAAAATTACAGCAAAAGCAAATGTTGTATATTTCCTTTAATATTAAGTATGCTTAAAACAAATTTCATTTTTGTCATTCACTTTCCAAGTTGGATCACGTTCCGCTTTCATCAGAAACAGTTGGTAAGACCAAAGCCAAATCTGTCCCTGGCCAATATGGCTCCTCAGGCTGTTGTTTATCTCTGGTTTCCATGGTTAGAAACAACTACAAATATTTGTATTCCTCCTGGATGAGATGCAAGTCCATCGCATATTACTCCTGCAGGTGAGGGAAACGTGGTTTGCCCATGGACACGAATATGGCCAGCGGCAAATAGTAACAGCAAGTGATTTTGGCTGCTTAGATGGTTTTGCTCAATTCGGCAGCAAGAGTTGAGGATGCCTTAAAAAGAAATCTATTCTTAAGAGTAATATCTTGATGAGGCTAGAGGACAACTCATCATCAGCGTTTAGAGGAAGCCTTCTTCTTCATCTGCTGTAGTCGCTTCATGGCCGAGGCTGTGCTGGTCTGTGGTCCGCTCTTTCCTGAGTGTCCACTGCTGACCTTTGTTGACCCATGACTCTTGGAACCAGACAGAGGAGCATTCTTGTTTACAGGGGAAGGCACAGGGGTGGCTTTGTGTCCTGACTTGGCGGAGAGGCTAGGGGGCCTGCTGCTGCTGCTTGCGGCCGCTTTGGAGTTTGCGGTGGAGCGTCCAGTGAGGTTTGCTGCAAAGCTTGCTAAACCGGTGTAGGGTGTCTTACTGCTAGAACTGGATGATGATGTATTTGCAGTGGACTGTAATTAAAGACAACACAATCCAATCCATCAGGGAGAACAATTAGGCAAATTTGGCTACTGACAATAGACCATTATCATGTTGCGGCCATCATGATTTTTTCCCCATTCAAATCAATGTAACCAAAGCGAGTCTGGAATGAAAAATAGTCTGGTTCCTTTTTACATAAAAACATTATCATTCAGTACTGTTATTGGATACAGGGAACATGACTAGAATGGTGGAAGCATGATAAAGGTCTATAAGCCCCTTGCCAGAAATGTTTGATTTGTAGCCTACTTACAAGGGAGAATGAGGGAACCTTGAAAGCAATCAAAGTATCCAGGCAAGCCTTGTCGCAAATGATAATTACATGACTCCATACATACAAGATAAATTATCAGATGCATGAAGTCAATATCAGAGCATATTTTGGGGGGAATTTTTTCCTTTGTCTCCTGTTTCTGCATGAGGTGATCTAAAGCCCCATAACTTGGCGATTAAAGACTATGTGTACATGTACAATGTACATTATCTACTTCAGAAGCATCAAATTTGTATGGGCTCCATGCGCCAACAAGAGGGCGCGTTTTTACCACTTTTGAGAGCCCATTGGATGGGACACCACCAGACCAAGTGTGCGTACTGTACTGCTGCCTGCATGAAGTACGCACGACTTATTTATCCTGAATGTGCACAAAGCTAAGCCATAACGTCTTTGCGGGTGAACGTCAGGCGTCATCAGCGCACGAATAGGTTCGAATTTAACTTACGATGGTCTCCTAGACTTATCTCCGTCCCCAATAACTTTGAATCATTTGAAATACCCAGCGGATGGACCGGGAACCAGTCTAGGTCTCCCCCAACTCTCCTTTTCTGGCCGATGAAGGGGTACTTGTGCACGGAGCCATATACATGTACGAGGCCTAAATTTGAATTAGTTAATGTGATTCGGATATTATAGGACTCTCATCACAGATCCAAGTTACTCGGCATACATGTCCGAGTACCAGAAAGTCAGCGTCGCCATTGTAGTAAGCAAGATCGCACAGTATGAAGTAGGCAAGCCCTCAAAGCTGCGATGGATGGGGAAATGCTCAGAGCCAACACCTAGTGCTGGGTTGGCCTGATTATGACAACCGACACAGGTAGTGACCATTATGCCATTTGATAAAAGATTTACAATTATTTTACAAGAAAATAAGCCTTACTGCCATGCACAATGTGTCTGCCAACCAAATGTTTCCCTACTGCAATGCTGGTTGATCATGGGGATACCAGATGGTCATGGAGTAATTTGACGTCATACGATCTGAACCTACACTGTATACATGTAGGCTACTTAATTGTGAGGCATTCTGGTGAAATGAGACAGAACTGAGCAGAGGTCAAAATGAGGGTTTGCAGGTATCAGGAAAGAGGATGCATTCTCCTCACAAAACTGCTTGTTGCACTTCAATCTGACATTCCGTAACAAGTAATGGCTGTTTAAAGTTCGCATTTATCGACATGTAAAAAAGAAAAAAATCGAGAAAAAGGCTTATAAAGGCTTAAGTTTTGTAGTCGTGAAAATGAAAGATGCCACTTGTAAGTCATTAAAAACACCTTAAAACCATGATTTTTATACCATTTCTTTAAAATATGCGTAATAGACATATCAAAGATCACAAACATCAATAAATCTGACAATCGAATAAAAAATCACCTTCATTTGGATTTTTAATTTTGCTCCACTACGACCTGTGTCCAGTTCTGTCTCACTTTACCAGAACGCCTCACAGTAATTCTAAAGCACAGGTTGAAGCTAAAGGCTGAAACAAAGTAAAGGGTTTTGACTTTCTAGAGAAAGACATTACCTTAGGCTCCGCCCTCTTGAAGATATTGAGTACCTCAGTGTCTGATTTGGCTTCAGTGTCCTTACTGCTGCTCTCTTTGGCAACATGGCTGGTTGAACCTGTGTTCTTCACTTTCTTTGTTGCCTTTAAAACAGCAAAGGGAAGAGATCATTGGCATTGGTGGAACTATCCACTACATTTGTATAAAGGCATCTGATTTTAAAGTCTGCAACATATTGATGAAGTGAAAAGGGTTTTACACCAAAAATTAGTATAAAGCTGGGTTTTAAAAACAAACTGATAGAATGATGGAGATATTTGTTGGTCCCAAGGGCTAGCCAAGTATCCTCTTTGTAGACATCTTACTGACAGAGTGACTGACTGTTGCTTAATAATATAAATAACAGGTTCTTATATAGTGCTTTTAAATAAGATCAAAGCCCTTTACATTATTATTACCCCTGATCATTGGACCAATTAAACATTCCAAATACCATCTCAGCTCCCTGGGGAGTATACAGCTCGATGCAGCCTGTTAGGTGCAAGGAAGCTAATTCAATCACAATAACCATCTCTGCCCTCACAGGTACCCATTTACTCCTGGGTGGAGAGAAGCAATGAGTGACAAAGTGCCTTGCCCAAGGGCACACACACCATGACCCCGGGCTGGACTCGAACCCAAAACCTGCAGCTTTACCCACAGACCACGAATCTAGTTCCTTTAACCACGAGGCCACGGTCACTTAGACTGGTCATAAACTGGTGAAGAGAGCCTGGCAGTGTTATTGTATAGGATTCCCTCGCAAATTCCCTCACAGATAAATGGGCTAATAAGCCCAGCCTACTCTGTAGACCAGATGCATGAACAGACTTCCAATCAGTAGCCATTCTGAATCAATTCGGACGATTCACAATGCAGTGCGCCACCGAGAGTTTGCAACGGAGAGTTCATTTTTCCCAGTGCATTGTGGGAGATGGTCATGATGGTCGAAAATTTGCAGCGCAGGACACTTGAAATTGGTCAATATTCTGGTCAGCAGTTTCGTAAGCGTACCGGTACAGTGTTCTCCAACATGTAAAACAAACCTGGCGCCCCGCCATGTTTTCTGCGGCGCCCGCCATGTTTTAGAAGTCACCGCCAAGCTTTAAAATCCAGCCGCCAGGTTTAATTTTTTTGACTCTAAACATAGACTTCGGGGCCAAGGCTAACTTTTATTGCATGTTGTATTCCATGAACTTCAGTTGTAGATTATGAGGCCTATTTTTCAAAAGAAACCATTATTTTTACAAATTCGCTTCATGATATAACTACTTCGCAATTCGATGTCACGGCGACTATAATCATGTGCGTAAACCTAGCCCAATGCGGCGATGACTGGTTCCCGCCGCGCCAATTTAGAAGACATGATGAAAATGCGGTAACTAGTCTGTGCACGCCTACGTGATCATAGCACTAGCATGGCTCTGCATTGCAAGTATGTGCACTGTCAACTGGTCGGATCCGACATCGAAAAAATGCCAAGAAAACACCGATGGAGAAAGAACATTTTTTGCAAGTTAATTCACAGAATTAATCTAGGTTGTCTGTGTATGTATTTTCCGTGTTCAAGAGTTCATTTTGAGATCGCACTACTCGTAATTTGAGTGATACAATGCAGCGTGTTTCCCGAAATTTTCGACCGTTAAACGGGGTCTGTTGGCCGCGGGCCACACATGCACAGTGCATCACACACTTCGGAGTTTTGGCCAGCTTCCCGTCTTGACTAGCGTTGTGCATATGATACGAACGACCTGAATTTTCCATTCTTTTTTAAAGAATTATAGAACGTAAATATATTGACAATAATTAAGGTAGGTTTTATTCACTTTTTGTGGCCATTTTTTGTATAGCTTTCGTAGTGCAATGGAAATAGTTCAGGCTAAAACTATTATGTCCAGTAATAAATTGCACCCCTTTACCGTGGTTGTTAACTTTGAGAAAATAATAAACTTTATAAGAGCAATAGTAAACCAATGAAATGGAATTCTCCTTAAAATCTTTAAAACTTCTGCTAAAAAAATCAGGGTAAATGGCCTGGAATCGCCTCAGATTGCACCACAGAGCATCTAGAATCCAAAATTTTTTCGGGGCCCTTAAGCGGGCCCCGGACCCCACGCCGTAAGGGCTTCGCGCTCCGCGCTCGCAGGAGTCCCCACACCCCAGCACCAACCTTTAATTTTCAAAGTTAGAGAACACTGCGGTATGATTCAAGTATCTGTTTACCCTTTTCTTTTCTTTTTATCAATATGGTGTTTTGGGAAGGTGGCAGAACGCTATGCCCCAATCTATAACAAATAAACTCTTCTAACTTCTAACACTCATTCAAAAGGGCCATGTTTTGTCGACCATAAACTTGACAAATTGACTCTCCACTGCAAACTCTTGGTGGCGCATTGCATTGTAAATCGCCTGAATTGATTAGAATGTTGTGCTCTGGGACCACCTTACCGGGCTTAATGAAGCTGCTGACTAATGTTACGATATCAGTAAAACAGGGCCAAAAATAATACATGGAACTCTAAAGTTCCTACATTTATTTTCAAATTGCCTTAGAATGCAGGAGAAAGTATCGTAGATTTCCAAAGTTTTCCCAGGGGCTAGCCCCCGGACACCCTAGCAAGGTGTGCCTCCCTCAAACCACCCCCCACCTCCTTTCACCCCCCTTTCCAGAAAGGTTGATCCGCCCCTGAATAGGGCTTTGAGATGGGTGCCTTTCATAACACCAATTTATTTCCGCACTACAGAAAAAATAAAATCCAATGGAGACAATCTCTACCCTTTAACCCTTACCCTACTAGACCCTCCAACGCATGCCAATATGTGCCTCAAGAAAATCTCCTATGTTTTTTGCATGGCCCTCCAATATCTGCCATGTCATTTCAAGGGTAACTGGACAGGCACTCCAATACATGCCACAGAGAACAATGAGAGTCCTCTGATAACAAAGTGAGTGCCCCTAGCTGGTCAGTATCAGGCACCTTCCAGGGCCTCCAACTCCTGCCAATTGGAGCCTTCACTGTTAAGACCAACTATCTGCCAATAAACTGCAGCTGGAGGGCATTGGCATAACCAACTGACATGCAGTAAACTACCCTCAGAGAGTAAGGGTTAATTAAGAGTTTATCATTCCATTGATTGATCAATGAATCGATATTACCACACGCACCTGTTTCTTCATATTGCGTGTACAGCGGCTGCAGTACCACACAAGACGGGGGTCATTGGGATCCGCTTCACTGGCAGGGGGTTTGTGACACAGCTGCAAAGGGGAATCAATGAAGAATCCAAATTCATCAGGGTAACGTACTCCACTTAAAAGTGGACATGGATGAAAAGAAGTAAATTGATGAAATATTCAAAACTACAAGCATCACAACCGCAAATGTAGTATCAGAAATTTCATAATATCAGAAATTTCAAAAATCGATATATTGGAAATCCAATACCAAGAATATTCAATATACCGATTATCCCATGTAAAAGTTAAAAGATCATAAAGATGACACTTATTTTTGATTAAAAAAAAAAATTAAGTCCCAATTTTCCACAGCATTCTCTGGTGCATAGGCCTATTGCTCAAACTTTTTAAAACAAATATTGTTTTTAAAGTTTTTTTTATAGTTTTACATTGGGGAAAACTGCAAATTCCAGCAAATGCAGGGCACAAAGCGATGTCGCTTGGCATTTCGCTATGTGTTTATTTTGAGTCACAAGCACAAGTTGCCACCGAGTTTTATTTCATTATACATGTACAGCAATTGATAAAAAAAAGTAAAAGCAAAAAGGCGAGATATACATTGTATTTTGACGATAATCTGATAACATTTTGATATTTGGATATGATTACAAAATCGCTATCTGCGATATAGCAAAATAATATCGAACAATCGAGTAATATCGATATATCGATGGTGATTATATGAGTGGTGGTGTGCCAGTGAGATGGAATATGCTCCCCGAAAACTATTTAAAGGTAACTTTCATCCACAAGTGCCAAAATCTAGAGTTTCACAATGTTTACTTGCCATATTTCAAAGGTCTTGGTTACATAAATACCCCCCCCCCTTACCTGGTGGTACAGACTATGACACTCCTGGCACTCAACCAACTGGTTCCCAGCTGCCACCTCCAGCTGCTTGCACACAATGCAGGCCAAGCCCATTTCCACGGCAAAATCGTCTGCATCAGTGCTGCCATGGTTACTATCGCCATGGTTACTGTCTCCAGTCATTGACTCCTTGCTGCTGTCCTCGGTGCCAGCTGATTCATCCTCGACTTCATCTTCATTCTCATCCTCATCTTCTTCATCTTCTTCATCTTCGTCATCTTCTATGACCGGTTTCCGCCGTTTCTCAGAGCGTAGTTTCTTTGATTGAGGTGGGTCCAGACTGTCTGAGGAGCTTGTCTTCAACTAAAAGCAAGAGGAGGAAACCTTTTCATACATACATGTATGTACTGGCACAGGGCACAAGTACCCCGTCATTGGCAGAAGGAAAGAGTTGGGGCAACTACTGGGAGAAACATTCGAACGTGCCGCTGATGACGCCTGACACTAACGAGAAGACACTGTTGCTTTGTGAAAATTCAGAATAAAATTACTCTGGTGTATTTCGCGTCATATGCACACAAATCAGTACGCACACATTGTGCTTTTAAAAGTGGTAAAAAAGAAACTCTCTTGATCGTGCACGGTGCCCATACCCACTGCCCTATCCAATAAAAATGGGCAAGTTTCTTCCATGGAAACAACCTACATGTACATGTAGCTAGGTGCCATGATCCATGCATGTACTGATGTACAACGATTCCTCGAAAAATTGGAACAATGGAAGGCAGCATCATCACATAGCAATTAATAAAATTGTACATCCTAAACTGGAGACTGGACCTCGTGTACATGTATACGTGGACCACGCAATAAACCAAATGCTCTTGACATTTTATTGGTTGAGAACAGCGCTGTATGATGATGCTGCCTCCCAAGTTTTTTGAGGAATCATCAAGTTCTTGAAAGCATCTAGACTTGATTGCAAGGCTGTGTATGCTGTATCATTAAGCGCTCATCACTGGCCGTAGCTTACCCCGGCTCAACATAGACGGTGAAACCTTGCCCCATTGTACTACATGTATACCACTTTATAATGTATGTAAACAATGAACTGTACACATACAGTTGTACTCACACTGTCGATCGTGGACATCCTATTGTCCCTTTTGTTTGTACACTAACTTTTTAGGAAGACTCCCATTGGTTTGTGCACGAGTCGACGACCCCAATCGCGGACGTACGCTGGGAATCACGGACGATATTGTTCTCTTTGTTCTCTAGCATTTTTTGTCCACGGTTTGAATGCCTGAACATGCCCATGTACACACACACACACTGCCCCCATGTGGGAGACACAGCATGGCTCAACCTTGATTAAACTGTAACGTTCGGGTTGCAGTTAAATGTTTATGAGAATAATTGGCCCTTGATTGGACAAGTCACATTGTTTAAATAGCATGGAGTGGGTCACCTTGGTTTACCAATGACAAAGATAATTTACATGTGTAGGTCTAACATCTCCAATGCCTGTGTAAGAAATTCCATACACATGTACATGTAGCTGATTGGACATTCTGAAATGAATGACTACATTGGTTCTACACAAACAAACAATCTGTGATTGGCCGTTGAGTGACATACATGTACATTATTCATAGATACTTTGCATGTCCACTCAAAACCCACTTTCCGACAGAATCCCACTGAATGCGCTCCGTTCACAAGTACCCCCCTCACTGGAAAAGAAAGTACAGTTTGGGGTGACCGAATGACGCCATCTTGCTTTACTGCAATATTTTGCTGCGAAGCGCGGCCACTACGTGTACTTACATGTAGTACAAATCCCCAGGTGTACGTGCATCACACACAAGTAACGGTGCGTGCGCGTCAGCCAGCGAAATGTATGTGTCCAGCCCATGGCATGCCGTTGCTAGGTAAAAGGGCAACCTCTTTTGTTGGCGCACGGAGCCCATTAACATAACACATAAAAATAACACATAAACGTGAAAGTTACAGTTTAATCAAGGCTGTACTGTGCTCTGTCATTAGCAGTGTGTGTACATGTACAGTACAGTTTATATATAATTTAGAGTTTGAGTATGAAATGCGGGCTTTGTACATACCATGGATCGGGTAGGCTATGGCCAGTGATGCACGCCCAGTGATACAGGATAACCAGCAGCACGACTAGAATAGAAAGCATCAAGATAAGGCACACTTAATTTTAGGAAGCGGTGGAATGCTAGGCGTGCCACTCACCTTTTCTCCTGCCCTCTTTTCAGCTCTTCTCTCCGCCTCCTTTCTGGACCCCTCCGTGGCTGCTAGCTTGATGCATGGGGTGGGAGCTTTCTCTTCTTTTTGTCTGGTACCTGACCTCTTGCTAACTTCTTTGTCCTACAACAGAGAAAGAGGGCCTTAAGGTATCACGTTGGTACTAAACGCTTGCCCAAGTGAAACCATGCAGCGCCAGGGTTCAATTTCATCAAGCTCAGCACCACATGCAAGTACAGAAAATGTCTAAGTATACAGTCATGACAGTGTACAATGTACGTACATGTACAATGTAGGGACTAGTTAAAGGCACATGGGAACATTTGCTAAGCACCGTCGAAAGAAACCACTCGTTTCCACGGCCAAGGGAATGCAAGTCATAGAATACCGTCCACCGCCCGCATGTGCCGCCGAAATTGTTCATTATTTACAAAAACAATCATTATTTACCCAGAATATTAATCTGCCTCAACAGTTTACTTCTAATTTTATCAGAATCCGCTCTACACAATTTTTCTAACGCAGAATACTCGTATTCTGTGTACCACATTGGCGCAAACCCAATCTGCCCACGCGTACAGAGTACGGTGAACACGCGGTACATATACAATACGTGCATACAATGTATAGCGTGCGGTTACCAGCACTAGCGCGGCATGATACCAGCGACTGCCTGTGGCCGTTTTCCCAAACACTTTCTTAATGTCTACGTAGTGACATCATGCAATTTGTCATCCGAACCACACAATGTGCAAAACGACTGGCAAGAGACTACATGTAGTAGGGTAGTCGCAATTGAACAATTAGAATACCCCTTCTGGTTAGTGCTTCAGAATAATGAATAATGAATAATGATAAAAAGCCTCATTGTTTTCAAAATCAGCAGGACGGTATTCTATGACTTTCATTTCCTCAGCCTTATGGACAAACTCTCAGTGCTAAGATTTGTTTTACCCCCCCCCCCCCTCTAGTTACGCCACTGGGAAGTTGTTCAGAATCCTGCTACTTATACCCATTACAATCAATGTCTGGAACTTGTCCGAAACCCATACTGTGCATGTACATGTATGTGAATTGAGATGGCCCCAGGAGAGATGCCCCCTCACCTGTTTATTGAAGCGTCCTCGGTTAGTCCCAGCAAGTGATTCATCTAACAGTGCCTTCAGCTGTTCCGTGGAGTCCTTACTTCGGGACCGTAGGAAACCCAGAGCTTTTACAAACACGGGATCCAGCTCCAATGTTGCCATTTCCTACGCTTTGATGTGGACGTGAGTGTAGATCGACTCAACTACAAACAGGAGTGTAGTGTAAAGTCAATTATGCTGTTTGTGGTGCAACAATGCAAGAAAACAATATGGGCAGGTGAATAAAGACTTTTCAAAGATTTGGGAAAGATTCCCATACCTGGCCATCACTAGTTTTTCCCTGTAGTGACCTACCTGTATCAACCATCAGAAAGTGATAATACATGTACATGTCCTACAAAGTCAACTTTAGCAGGGAAAATATTGACACATTTACCATGTTTACTATACTGAAAAAACCCCACAAATTTTCAAACCTGCCTCATACTGGTTTGTGCACAGGGTGACAAGTGCGAAATGGGCACTTACTCGACTCGGCGAAAAATCATGCTGCGCTATATCGGTCAGTGCCCAAAATGTGCTCACACTAGTATCAACCCATATTTCTGACTTGCCTCCAACACAAATTCTTCTTAAGGATCTCTGGTTCTCTTTTTGTACTGGAAAACCTTCAAAATGTCTTTAAATAATTTGGCTCAATATAGCATTTCACGCAGTGACCTGGTGACCAGCAATGTGTTTGCACGCAGCCTCGTCCCCAGGGTGTCAAGCAGTACGCGCCCACTTCTACCTGCTCTCTCACCCTGGTATTGGATCATTTGCATGTGCAAGATTTTTGAACACGTATGCAAATGAGGAATGAATGCCTGCTTGTGCATTACATTTTCGTTTGTTTTTGTATGCGGTGTCTGTGGTAAAAACAGAATCAATTCGTACATGTCGAACAGCGCGAGCATGGCGTACGTGAGTTACGAAAACACGATTTGTTTCAATTAAACTGTTACGATCTAAACGAGACAACATGCAGTATCACATTTCACATCAATATTAACAAATTGGAAAGGAGATGAATATTTTCGAGAAGGCGTGGACGAATGATCGCAAAAACACGTACATGTACTGCACATTGTGAATAACAACACCAAGTACACGATATAAATCCATTTGTCATGTTTGTAGCCAATTGTAGTATCGAATCAGGATACAGGACGAAAGTTTCCTATGAAGGGCTTACTATTGGAAACAAGGTTGGAAATAAAGTAAGCACTGGGGGCGAGGTTGGTTTGCACGGTAATGTGTTCCCTCCATTTTCAAGATGGCAGCGGAATGTGTGCACAATTATAGGGCGAGTTGGTCAGCACCAGGGGCGAGTCGGTCTGGGGGCAACCTCGTTCCCATGGGTACGAGATCTTGCTGCACCATGTTGTTTCCCATCCTGCCTTGCCGATCTCAACCCCTGGAATTGTGTAATTTAAATGTGTCAAAATATGGCACATTATAATTAGGCTGCAGTTTATCTTTAACATGTTTAATGTTTAAAGTTGTGATTTTGAACATGAAGAATCAATCCTTTCAAACATTTCAGGTTTGGACGTTGCGTTAATTAGCAAAGATTTGTATTAATTAAACTTACGTACCCCTTTCATCCCTTCACAACCGAAGATACAGGTTTTTTTATTTAGCGATAATAGCGATAAAAACGAGGCTGCCATAATCCATATCGTAAAGGCATCATGAGCCTTGAATAACAAAACATTTTCGTACATGACGTGACATGCAAAGCACACGAGCGCATTATGGGCGCGCCTGGCGTGCAATCTTGGAAATGCGCGTGCAGTACGCTCTGAATAGCCAGTCAGCATCGTTTACGTGTACATCACGGCCAGGCATGCCAGGGGTTAGTGAAAGAATGCGCACGCGCCCATGGAGTCGAGGCTGGTCAGGGGCGAGTTAGACTCACTGATCTCTATGGATAGCGGATAAAGAGCTGCACAGCCTCGACTCCATGGGCACGTGCGCCTTCTTTCACTAACCCCTGGCCGTGATGTACACGTAAACATCACGTCACGTACGAATATACATGTATTCAAAACTGCGCGATGCCTGTACGATATGGATTATGGCAGCCTCGTTTTTCGCTAAAAAAAACCCTGTACATGTATCTACAGGGACGAAAGGGGTATGTAACTTTAATACAAATCTTTGCTAAATAACGCAACATCCAAACTGTATGTTTGAAACTGAAAGCATTGATTCTTCAAGAACACAATTTTCAACATTCTAAAGATGTCATCGGGGCGTAAAATGAGGTTGAGAGCCGCACAATAATGAATTTGACGCCATATTGGTGAGACCGGTGAGACTGGCTGGTGACCCTACTATCGCCAGACCGTGTCCGAATGTTAAAAAGGCGATAAGTTGGGTCCAAGTACATGTAGCTTGGATGATCCTAGCGTTATGTTTATGCATAGCCCAACTGCGTCTGGCCGTACAGTACTATCGCAAGCTCTGTAGTACGGCCAGACGCCCAATGCTTCCACAGAGACTGAATTTTTTTGGCCGCTGATGTAGCGATTTTGCTACAGATTTCGATCGAGTTTATCTTTTCATCCAGGACACAAATTTCCAAAGTTAAGGTTCTTAGTCGTAGAGCAACTCATACCTTTTCGAAAAAACGTTCTTTGGTCTCAATATTTTCATCCATCTGGCCAAAAGACGACTTTCAGTCATCATCTTCCACAAATATCGTCCCGAAAATGCTCCCCCATGCGATTTCAAAATGGCGGCCGCGCTGTAATGTATGCATTATGCGAGCGCGCTTTGGGCAAGATAATGAATATGCATCATAGTTTATGACGTTTGTCGGACACTCGGCGCGGCTGGCCATACAAACACGAGGTCATGAACTAAATGCCACTTCTATGGTATTGGTAGTCTAGTAATAGAATTCGCCGTGGTCTATTTTGCGCAGATTTGCTGATTAATTAGGCAAGACCCCGCCTCTTGACTAACTAGATTTTGACCAATCAGCAGGCGCTTTCTATTGGTCTATCGGGTCTTCGGTCATTTTACCCGTTGCATGTGATAGACATGGATTTTAAAAAAAGGCAGTGGATATTTTGCCGGAGACGGCAAACCTTTAGTAAACGTTAGTTTGCCGGATATGCACTGAACATGCGCAGTTACTGTTTTTTTTACTTTAACATTTTCCGGTGACAAATTTTAGTCTAGCTCCATGCCAATATTATCGTTATAACCTCGTATTCACAAGATGGAATTCAGACCATTGTATAATTTCGGACTTTATTTCCCTTTAAAAAAAATCCTCCAGAGCCACAAATCTCAAAAAGAAAATGTAATACTCTGCAATAAAATGTTTGAGACATGTTAAAATAATAAAAGAATATTCTTATTTATTTGGGGATGGGAACAAAAATCTTTAAAATGTGGCGGGGATCGGGATCGAACCCGAGTCATCTCGCTCACCAAAGCCTTTGCATAACCACTACACCAATCGTGCTACACAACTTTTGACTGTTTGATGGGAATTTAATACATCTTATAATTCAGCCAGGGCGGGCTATCTTAAAGAGTACAGCGCCCTCTGTTGATATGGATTGCCGCCGGCAAACCGTTAGTAAACGTTAGTTTGCCGTCATTACCTCCGGCAAAATATCCACTACCATATAAAAAATATTGGTCATAAATTTTTTCGCCCGGTTTTGAGCACTTCATATCCTGGTCTCCCTCCGTAACGTATGGAGGAAATGGAGTCCACCTGGGCTAGGGTCCCAGTTTATTACTCGGACTATTTGCAACGCTCGTCGCTAATCTCGTTATAGCTTGAGTAACTCCAGCTGACATGTTCCATATTCATTCACATGTAACGTTGGAGGCAAAACCTGTTCGTTAGAATGTGGTAGCAAGAGACCCTAAAAAAATGGCCTCTCAAAAATTGTTCATTTTTACCTCTAATATCCCACCCCAGAGTTCATTTACATACCTCATACATAGTAACATTCAGCAGTCATTTACGAAGCCTAATTAGTAATTTTCGTCTGGTGCGTTGCTGTGGAGGGCATTCTCGTTGTCTTGCTTTCCACGACAACGCACCAGACGAAAATTGAACTCACTTGCGGCGCTTGAAAGCGGTGTGGTACGGTCCACATACATCGCACGCGCAGATTTTTTTGATGTCATCATGTGATGCATACATTTACATTATTAGTTAAAACAAAATGGAAGACAGCCGTTGGAACTGGCGTATTTTTACGGACAAGCCACCGAAATCGTCAAGATTTTTCACTTTTTCACTAGGCTTCGTAAATGACTGCTGAATGTATGAGGTATGTAAATGAACTATGGGGTGGGATATTAGAGGTGAAAATGAACAATTTTTGAGAGGCCATTTTTTTAGGGTCTCTTGCTACCACATTCTAACGAACAGGTTTTGCCTGCAGCGTTACATGTCATGCATGTGAATGAATATGGAACATGTCAGCTGGAGTTACTCTAGCCCCATAAATGTGGCCTATTTACTGGACTGCCTCCGTAAACATAGGCCACACGTCCACATGTACAAAAATCGTGTCGACTTTGCCAAATTTTGATTTTCACATTTAGGCTTAGTTAAATTGTAGGATTTTTTTGCTTTAGAAGCATACTCACCCACTTTATAGGCTAGTCAAAAAGTGCTGCCTTTTTCAGATGTCTAATTTTTTGTGAAATTTCATGTTGAAATTTTGATACGCAAACGTGTAAAAATGAATCTGGAAATTTCACGAAAAATATACATAATAAAAAGGGAATTTTGCTCACCAAGTTCACAGAAAAAGTTCCACTGCTCCGAATAACGTTATCGTTTGTCGTCGAATGAGGGCGCTTTAACCCGCTGCAACTAAAGAGGGCGCTTTATTTTGAAAGTCCCGTGGATCATAGAGTGAGGCTATAAGCCAGGCACTTCGTATTATTTCGATTCTGCCATACATCATGTACCTACGTTCTCCAAAGACTGATTTCCTAAGCATTTTTGTGGCCATTTTCGCTTACAAAACATGCAACTTGTAAGTACAATTTGTTTTACAGTTGTACAGTGACAGTCGACCGTCGTTCAACACACGTGTGTTTGTTGTGAGTGCGTTCTTATCCGGGCGTCTGTAATTGGGTTATCGATGCAGCGGTTTTGCGTTGTGACGTCATGCACGAAGTGCCTGGCTTATAGCCTCACTCGGATCATAGCCACATGTCTGTGATCATACTAGCGTGGCCGCCACGCGAATTTTCTTTTCGTAGGCGGGTGAAGCAATAATTTTATGTTTATTCACGAGAAAATAACAACGTTGTTACGATTTAGTCAACTAGTTATATTGTATTGTATAATAGGGCCCATATAATCTAGTTTTCAAATGCAGTCCTTGTTATGTCCCATAATTTTGACCTTAAAGCTATAGTCCATCATTTGCAGCCATCCGACTCAAAGTAACTGGCGTAATTATTGTTGAAAAACAAACTTGGTTGAAAGATAGTAAGGGAACTAAACTCCCTGTTAAATTGTTCTTTCTGGGAAGCTGTCATTTTGAAGTAATCAACGAAAGAAGGCATTTCCAACGGTGATTCTTAAGAAGCACCGTAGGAAAATTTAAATTAGTAGTTCGTTTTGTTATTCAGCGCAGCGCGCACAAGTATTGGAACGACGCACACGCGCCCTCGGTTGTTGCAATTCGTCGGATCAGTGCGCGACGTCGCGTATAGCTGCAATTCAAAACAATTCAAAACATGATTCAGTAACTTTTGATTTGAAATTGAGATCTTAGAATGCTGTTTTTCTCGGAATGTACAGCTGAAGCTTAGCTGAAACTTCATCAGGTTAGTTGCTTAGTATCCTTCATTGGATTTTGAACACTTTTGTCGCTTCAAACGAAAAAAAAATGCACTAATTACAAATGATGGACAATAGCTTTAATTTCGTTTCTCGTTTTGCCATTTTATGGGCATATTTTTGCTATTTAATTCACGCAGAAAACTTATTATTACAACTATTATAGCATAAAAAAAATTCCAGCATGTTTAGATATTTTCTTTGGTGATTCGTTGTTGTTTCAGTACTGCATTACAGTAGACCGATGAGCAAAGTTTTGTCACAGATGTTTTCAATGAGCAAATTTTGGGTTCACAATTTGAACAGAAAAGTTAACCCCTCAAGTGAACATAAGGTAGCAGACCAGTAAATAAACTTCCATAGACCCCAATGGTAAATGCTCCCACTTCAGAAATTCGGGAAAAATACTTACAACTCTCCAAGGTGTTCGAGACACACATCAAATTAAAGCTTATTTCATCACCTTTCATTTTCTTTTTTCTTTTTTTTTTGGGGGGGGGGGGTCAACTGATGACTTTTAGGAAAAATTTCCATCCGAAGATGATCACCCCTAAAAATAGTCCTGAAGCCCATCGCCATTTTGAAAAACGATGGCTACACTCCATTGCAAAATAGAGCGCTTTTAGGGTCCAAATTACATCCAAATTATACACAACTGCAAGCTCCCAGTCCTGTGCACGGCTTCCACCCATATTTTTTACAAACCCTCAAGTTCATGGCCCACAATACTCTCAAACACTGAAGATTTTGAGGGCATGCAAATCGTGATTTGGCCGGCGTAGGCAATTTGGGGCCTATTTACTGGTCTGCAACCATAACAGTGACTTCCTGAAATGACATCACAGCAACAACGCCCTCATTTGTCCAGAAAAACATGGACAATGTTAAGTGTTTAAAGAAGTGAGTTATCCAATAAGATTCACCTAAAGGGGATGTCAAGATGTTTTCAAACCTTTATGACAGTGTTGTAGACTACTCGCGTACTTTTTTTTAATTTTTTTTTTTTTTTTTTTTAGAGTACTTGTGCTCGTACGTACTCGTACTTGTGCTCGTACGTACTCGTACTCGAATGTCAAAGTACTCGTACTCGATATGACGGTACTCGTACTCGAATAGCAAAGTACTCGTACTCGCACATGTCGAAATTGAACTCGATCATCAAAGTACTCGTAATCGAATAACAGTTCTCGATAAAACAAAGTACCGGTACTCGTACTCGAATAGCGGTGTCATATGAAAATCGGACTCTTTTTCCCTTATTGGTTAAACCCCCTCACGTGACCGGTACCCCTCCTAATTATCTATGCATGAGCATGCGCAATACCACAAATGAGTCCGTATTTCATAAAACCTAAATTCATGCTACAGCGGTACTCGACATGATAAAAAAAAAATGCAGTATATCACTTACGTTCCTACGGCCTTATTTTATCGATACTTTCAGTTTCAAATGGTCGATTGCAGAGAAATACACATCTTCTCTACTCTACGCACGTCTGACTGAGCCTGGGCCAAATACGCACAATTACCCTTTTGCCGTATGTGGGCACAATGGCCAATCATTGTATGTACACACTGTACGCCGAGGTGTAATTACCGAAATGGTCGTTCGATTAACTTGGTGATTGGAGCAAAGCCGTTCTCTGAACCCCTGATTCGGTACTATTTATAATACGGGTCCAGCCTCATTGCCACTCTGCATGACTGGATAAAGAGACACAGCCGAGGTTTGAAAAACGGCCCCTAGTCAGGTTACTGCAGCAGGTCCACAGTTCAGCGGCCTAGTAGAGGCCTTTGAATGGGAAGCAGACCAAATGCGTAGACAACAAGAAACGCGAATCTGCCATTTTTTTTCCATACACGTTGCATGTGCACTTTTTACGTAAAGTGTACCGTCAACGTTCGCTTACGATTGCCTAGGTGTGATTGATTTTGTCTGAAGGACAACTTGGCTCAGAATGTATGCTTGCATAGGATGGTTGAAGGAATTAAAAAGATTATTGTAAGAACAACTTTTGTAAGAACACTCAGAACAGTGGTTGAAACTTATAGTGGAAATAAAGAAATCTTTTCTCAGCCATTTGAATGCTTGTTGTACTCTAGCCCGCGGGAACGGGGGTGCTGTGGGTGCCGCAGCACCCCCAACTTTCTGGATTTGGGTGCTGGAATATGCTTCAGCACCCCCAGCCTACTCCCGGGCAAAAATGTGTTCCAGCCAGCAGTACTAGTGTTCAACGACGATGAAATTGCGCCGCTACGCTATACATTACGCTTACTCTACAAATATCTCCGGTTTTTTTTCGTTTCTAGTTTTGCCGCGGCTATAAGCGCGGAGCTTCGAACTGGCACAAATACTGTAAAATATCAAGAGGAGGTATTTTCTAAATCTTCAGGCAGAATCGATATTTCCCTCAAGGTATCTAAAATCATGACATGTTATGATATTTCCGCCATGATGGAAGCTTTGACCCTAAAACAATAACCTCAGCCATGACAATGGTGGCAAAGTTGATTATGTTTGCCAAGATTTTTTCCATTTGATCTTTCAATAGGGGCAAATATTCATACCTTTCCCCTGAACGTTGCTAGCATTCTGTACTCAACTTTAACAAATAGCAAGGTTCACACACATCCCCAACCTAAATGGAGTGGGACGGGCGCTTTCATTGAAACTAGTCATGCTTTACGCCAATTCCAGTGTAGTTTCGTTTTAATAAAAAAGCTATTCATGCTTTACCCTATGCAGGTTTTTGCTCATAAAAACTCAGTAGACCGATAAATTGCCTAGCCCAAAACTTGCCATCTACCGATCATAAACATAAAGATGCATTTGGTCTTTTAGTCACTTGTACTTGTGGGTTTTTTAGTCTGAGGAATAAGGACCCGAAAATACAAGAATAATAATGCACAGCATTGTAGATTAATTTTATTAAATGACAGTTGACCTAAACTTTCATGTCTGTATCTCAGCTGTGTAGCATTTCCTTGGAAAATACTTCCTGCTGTTGCCGATTGAAAAAACAAACAAATTAATTTCAAATAATTAGAAACGCTTACAAAGACGAACCCTAGTATCAAAAGTGATTAACAGTACAAATAATTTTAGGCTTCAAGCATAATAATGTACCCGGTGCCGTATTCGGAAATACAAGTACTCGTACTCGTACTGGTACTCGGAATACATTGTACTTGTACCCGTACTCGTACTCGGAAGTGGAAGTACTCGTACTCGTGCTGGTACCCGGACGTTCAAGTACTCGTACTCGGAGACAATTAGTTCTTGTACTCGGCAGCACAAGTACTCGTACTCGGCTACCGACGTACTTGGCAGTACTCGGTAGTCGAAAAAAAGTACTCGACTACAACATGTTGCCATTTGAATGCTTGTTGTACCCTAGCCCGCGGGAACGGGGGTCCTGTGGGTGCTGCAGCACTCCCAACTTTTTGGATTTCGGTGCTGGAATATGGGATGCTGGAATATGGGATGTTCGGGAGCTGCGGCTCTGACGCCAACAACATGGGTTTCGCTATGCTGAACCCCATCGAGAGAGCTCGCCTGGTGGACGTCACCTAGCTTAATCTCGACATGCAGGTGGTGGCCAGCACTCCGACCGTCGTAGCTTCCCAGGAGTACATTAATGAATCCATCATACAACAACCCTCTATTATTACGTGGAAGACGAACTTGGCTATCAAGCGATCATGGAGCGTGGCAAGCGGCTTCGAGAAGATCAATCAGGTGGGCGTGCTGGCCGGGATTCCCGAAGTAGCTTCATGCTCTTGGATCGTGAGTCCAAAAAATCTCGAAACCGATTGGAGATGATCACTGAAGAGCAAATCTGGTCCTGGCCGTTTGTCTGCCCGCCGGAGAGGAGGATTCGTGCTACTGGCTATAAGTATTCTGACCAAATTGATACCGAGTAAATGGTGAGGAACAAGTCACCTAATCATAATTTATTCCTGCCTTTTATGCAAGTCAGCAGACGACTTTGGTTGTTCAATGATTTTCGAACTCCTGATATCCTG